CCTTGAGAAACGTTTAGGCTACTTGTAATTGAATTAATTTAAAGACAAGGACACAATTTGTTCATTAAAGCACTGTTTAATAAAAAATAAAAGCAATTTTAGCTTTCTAAACCCCCCCACCCCACCGAAATGAACCGAACCGAACCGAGACCTCAAAACCGTGGGACGAACCGAACCGTCAGGTTTTTGTGTATCGTTACACCCCTATCGGATACACTGCTAGACACTCTGATCCATCATGAAAAACAACAGTCTAACAGTAATGCAATGCAGTCTATAAACACTATCCAGGGAAAACACTCTGCGACTTTCATTACTCAGTATGGAGATCCAGCAAAGGATTAGATCTCATCGAACTAGGACCTTCTCACAGTGTTTGCGCGCCATGGAAAGAGAAACAGCTGCAATATAAAGATTCCAGTGGCCTTACGTATGTGTCTGCATTTCATCACTAGATCAGAATGACTACGTGATTTGGAGTCTGTCTCTTTTTTTGCGGAATGGAGAAGCAGCTGATCTGGCTCCATGAGACCTCCTTGCACAGCCTTGATGGATAATGCGGCCAGTAAACGTTACCCTCAGAGGGAAACAATGGGAACTTTTTGAGGATCATTGCATGAGAGATATGCAAATTCTTCAAAATTTTGTTTGCCACACTGGAGACATTAAGAAATAAATAACAGGACATGTTGAAATTACAGTGAGTGATGTTCTACTCTGACTTCAGATGGGCAAATAGCTCTTTATAAGGAGTCAATCTCATCAACAATAGACCAAAGCGAATGTGTCATACCTCTCTGGCTGCAAGCACGCAGTATTTTTCAGCAATGCAGTTTTCTGGCTTCCTCTACAGATTTTATCTCAGGTCCAACAAGTGACAGAGAAGCTGCAACTAACAGTGTGTAAAAGAGTTCCCTTCACAACTATATTAAGACTGTTGTGTGCTTGAATAGCACACTGATCTTGATAACTTGTAAGTTTTGGGAAGCAAAATAGCTCTTGACAAACTGAACTGTCAACTTACCACACAGTATGACACCGCAACAGCAGTATGTTTCAAGCGATAACGTCACCTATGACATCACATCATAAACGACTCCTATCACAATCCTTGACAGTGACTAATATGAGAATCATTTCCTTTCCCAAATCCAGCTCAAAGACTTTGGTCCAGGCAACTCCAGAAGCAGCAGGATTCTATTGTTCTGGGTGACTGTGGTGAAAAGCATATGGCACGCCCACAATCTGTCTGGGTTACACTGGGCTCTAATACAGCTCAGACGGATCGCATAATTACGTCATGGGGGGTGCGTATAATGTGGGTCATTACGCCATAAAGTCTGTTATGGGGCATAAAAACGGGGCATATGAAAATAATTTACTATATGTTAAAAAAAGCTACTAGTGCATAAAGTAAAATGGCGATAAGGACACCAATAAGTAGTTCAAGGAATAAATGTTTTAATACTTAGGTGCAAGTGCATTTACCACTGCTCAGCGAAATCCAGTCATTTCAGTAGGACTCGAGAGGATGATAAAGTTCCCAAAGCAGATTTCACTAATGTTTAAAGGTGCAGAAAGTGAACACTTGTAGCCAATCAGCAGTAAGGGTCATATACACTCATGATGGGGAAAGTGCCTGTGCTATGTTCGTGAATTTAGGGGCGGAGCTATCAATATAGGGATGTGATACTTTTTGGTACGTGCTTGTTTTGGCGATTTCAAATATCAACAGTGTTTCTCAGAAATTGCTTAATGCACCAAGTTGTTCATGCAAATTCACCATGCTGACCAAAACCGTTTGGTTTGAAAGTGACTTGTGTGAGCAGTGCTCAGGGGCGCTGTAAAGGGGGGGTAAACGATGACGATTTTCGGGGCCCATGATTAAGAGGGGGCCCAGAGAAGCCCCCAATAAAATTGTGGTGCTAAAAAAATATATTTGATAGTAAAAATTATTAACTTTAAATTATTCTATTTGCTGTTTCCTGGTGTCAAATTTTTTTATTTTTTTAGGAAACACAAATGTCCGTGGGCCCCTCTCCCCCTCTCGATTATCATAAAATGGTTCAGTCCGCCCAAATTGTATCCAGGCAACGTATTTTTACGCTCTGATTGTGTGAGACGTACAAGCTCGGACAGATTCGGCTTGAAGTCGTTCATCCTCGGATGCGGTGCCGCGCACGCTGTTACAAAAAAGCTGTGCACACAGCTAAGCGAAATGAGGTCTTGCGCACCGAACTTGTCACTTTTGCCGCGCTCGTGCGATGCGTCGAGAATACACAAGTGTCAGCGCGCGCTCTGATCGGTAAAGGTGCACTGGACCTCTCCCAATCATCTCTAGCACTCAGCCTCCGAAGCACCAACTAACTTGGCCTCCGTTTCCCTCATAAGCTGATAGTAGTATTTAAACATTCTCTATGATATTTTTTTTTTAAGTGACACACTGTCTCTTTCTCTCTCATACACACACACACACACACATTGTCTCTTTCTCTCTCACACATTTGTAGGCTAGTTATAAACTCTTCAGACTTTTAATGATTAGTGCTTTATTTTTAAAGTTTGTGGTTAAGAATCGTGTAAAAAAAATCCCTTATTTTGGGGATGGATTCTGGGAAATCTCCCTTATTTTCCATGTTCAATGTTGACAGCTATGGCGTAGGCCTACGCACGCTTTGTACATGAGACCCCAGGTCTCTACGGTAGCGCAGGCTGCAGCGGGTGCACGGCTTTGTATTACAGACAAATTACGGCTGTGGGCATGGGATGGAGTTCAATTGTCTGATTGACTTAAATATATGAGAATGATAGTCAAAATACCATAAAAGCGCATGATTTTATGTAAATTAATATGAAAAAAGTCTCAGCTGTGTTGGGGGCCCTGTCAAGATTCTTTTCATGGGGCCCAAAATCCTTAGCAGCGCCCCTGGCAGTGCTTCATGCACTGCTATGGTTTCTAGGAGCCCCCTGGACTGTTTATTGCCCCGGCCCCCTGTTGAACTCACGTTCACAGGTGGGGGTCCTTCGGGCATCTGGAGTCATCTTAATCATTACACCACCCCTGTACGTCGCTACACTAATGACAATGGAAATTGTTTGCATGCAAAATTTTGCTGAAATATTGCTAATCGGACCACACCTTTACAGTTGTTTGGCAAATTTCCAAGGGCGATTTCACCAGTCATTTCATTCAGAATCCACACAATCAGGAATTTCACGTGAGCAGTGTTTCCCATACATTGATTTATCTGTGGCGGCCACGAATAGATTTCAGTGCTTCCCATTCATTGACTAGACTGTGGCGGCCAGAAAAAAATATTTTAACTTCTCATAATAACATAAAAGGTCTTTAATGTCATGTTTGTCACCAATGCTGTCAAACAAACTAAAATCGAAAGCGTGATAAGGCTTTGTGTCCTTTTCAAAAGACTGTCTGTTTGGGTGGTTGCGTTGCAAATCTATTAAAGGTAGGGTAGGCAATTTCAGAGATGCTAACAATAGCAAGCTAGCTTTGAAAGAATGAGATGCCACCCTCCTTTCAGAGCGTCTCCAAAGCCACGCCTCCCCCAAAACACATGAACGCACGCAGCAGAGTCTGCAAAGCGTCACGAGAAACTACCTCATCTCTCAAAGCACATAACATTACAATAATAAAGAATTATTTTACTCTTACTGTACCACCTGACTGCTGATGTAGCCATTGAACAGCTCCAGGTAGAACGTCACTGGTTACCATCTCGCAATTATGGTTATGCCATGGCGTGAACAGCATAAGCTTGTGTGTCTACGAGCATGTACAAGCTGACTGTATTGTCTACAACTCTGCACAGATTCGCTGGACCACGGTGATGACGTGTGATGTCTGCGCGCGTAGGGTGTGAGGAGGTTTGGAAATACAGGTTGACAGGCAGGTAGGACATCGTATCATTCGGAAAGAATGCAATGATTGGACAAACATTTTTGGTTCTGCGACTTCCGCAATAGATATATATGTAAATTTTCTATTGCTATGAGGATGTGAAGAGAGTTTCAACCAGTGCAACAAAAAGTGTTTATAAAAAAGCCTACCCTACCTTTAACTGCTGCTCATCCAATCAGAATTCAGTCGGAACGATACGTTAATCTATTATAACGAAATTAACAAAAAGGCCGCACTCCTCATTACAAACTGTTGCATTGAATATTATTATTTTATGTTATAACGGGAGAAATAGCTTTATTAACATGATCAGAGCATTTGTGTCGGTATCATGTTGTTATAATTCGCACTGATTATATCATTTCAGTCCGCATTCAGCACATCATCTTTTTTTTTTCAGCACATCTTATTTTGAAGTGGAAAATCCTAAATCATTCTGGCGTCGCCTAAAGGCCAGTAAACCTTATTGTCATCTTTATGGACTCCACCCAGATAAACCCAGTTCATTCATTACGACATTATCGCCTTAAATTATACTGAATTGACAAATATTGCGGTCTCGTTCTTCAGACGCGGAAAAGTTTGAGTAACGTGTTCCTGAAGGTAGCTTATCAGACGTAAGAGCAGTACGAGTTAAAACAAGTTACTTTAACCTTATATGGATATCTGACTGAAAACCCAGACAGTAACAAGAGAGATAAAGCTCCCAAATAAAGTTATGACTCCAGCCCGCAATCTTTGGTTGAAAGCATTATTAAGATTTAGCCTAGTTAACATTGCACACATGCGCCCCACCCCTCACTTTATTTAGGTTAGGTTATCTCATTAAACATGTTTCAATGAGGACGGAATTCCAACGCGATTATGAAAGATTTTCATAGTCAAAATAAATTAAAATCATTCAAACAACACACATTATGACCTTAATGCTATTTCAATAAATGTATACATCACTAAAAACCATTATGAATGCATACATGGATTGAGGTTTTGATGCGGATAGATACCGGTTTACTGTGTGACAAACTTCTGTCATTACAATTACACATTATAAAAAAGGTAAAAAAACAAAGGCACTTACTGTTCGTTTTCCTCCGGAAAGGTGCAGTTATGCCAGTACAAAGAGACAACGCGTCTAATTTCTATCCCTACAGCCCTTTATGAGTATCCTTTCTTAATGTATATCACTTTACGGTGATATGTTGGCGTCAGGCACCATTCTGTTAGTACTGACAAGATCTCGTGGGGACGATCATCAGCGAATCTGATCTGCCAGCATGAACTTTTTCCAAATGTACCGACTCTAGTCACACTTCCGGTTCACGCTTCCGCATTCTCCTGGCCGCTGGAGGTGGGACAACATCTGCGGCCAATGATGACTGCACTGCTGTTAGAGATCTGCACAGTATTCAAGTTTTTACCGTTTTATAGTTTATATTAAGCTATTTTAAATACCGTGACAAATTCATTTTAACAGAAATATTACATGTATCTTATCAACTAGCCGGGTCATAAAATAACATAATAGCAAAAATATAGCAAATGCACATTTTACAAGCTAAGCGTTTCAAACAAATATGTTTGTTAGGTTTTGTTATTAAATGATACTATAAAAATTATGTGAAAATTGGATTTCAATTTATCTTTCGATGTATGCAGCTTGGATTTATTCTTTGTGTTTAACGGTGCCTAGTTGTAATATGAAGAGGTTAAATAAAGGTTTAAAAAAGTTAATTGTTTACCTCACCTTGCACATAAGCCATTGGACAGTTATTAAATAAAACAGTCAAACAATCTATCAGTCTTGTTATATTGAAAACAGCTTTGACTTACCTCTTTGCCTGCCTCCTCCTTCTCTTCTTGTTTCTCTCTCCGTAAGTGATTTCAATGATAACTTTTTCTGCAGTCTCTACTTCTGTTTCTTTCCGAATCACAGCTGTTGAACCCTCCCCCTACATGTCTCCTAAAGGAATGACACCATCCCTCCGTCTAAACAAGTTCTCTCTCGCTTGTCTTTCGCACAGGTCATGCGTACAATCCAAACACCTCTCTCTGTCTCTCCCCCCTTGGATTCTTTGAAAATTCTTCAAACTATGACATCAGCCCTGCCTGCCTTTCCTTGTAAGGGCAGAGTGGGTGAGTAAGTGACTGAGAAAGAGAGAGGGAGGGAGGGAAAGAGAGAGAGAAAGATAAAGGAGGTTGTGGGGGTTATTAGATACAGACACATGGAATGGTTGGCAGGACACAGAAAGAAAGAGACAAGAACACGCAGTGCTCAGTTAGACAAATTAAACTGACACAAAACCTTGAGGCTCGCTCAAAAACAACACTTACAAATTCAAGTTAGTTTTAATAGTTGTGGTCAACAACTATTGCTGCACATACTATTTTCCACTGCTGGTTCCAGTTTAATTCAAAGCAAACAGGGTTTTCCGAAAGGCATTAAAGATATAGTTCACCTAAAAAAAGTGAACATTCAATCATTTATTTAACGTCATTTAAAGCCCATGACTATCTTTCTTCCGTACAACACAAAAGGAGAAGTTTAGTACAATGTGTGAGCTGAGCTGCTCTCTTCCATTCAATGAAAGTGAATAGGGACCAGGTGTTGTCAAGCTAATGCCGAGTTCAGACTGCACGATTTTAGCCCCGATTTTGGCTCGCCGACAGGTTTTGAGAAATCGCCGACAAATGCCCGAAATCACAGGCAAATCGGTGCTCGTTCACGTGAGTGACAACCACGCAGTGTGAATGAGCAAAGACGCGATCTGAGAGAATCGCCGAGGAGAAGCCGACGCCCGTGAGATATTGGGCATGCTAAATATCTGGACCTGTCGGCGATTCACAATCCTGCTGTGTGAATGTGTTCTGACTGAAAACTACATCGGCGATGACCGACAGCCAATGAGAGAGCAAGATACAGGGAGGAGGAGGAGGAGTTATAGACCAGAATATCAGTATTTTAATAGATAGGCCTATATTTACAATTATATCAAACAGAAACAAAGCACAAACATTTGCATGACCAGCAGCAACAGCAGGACATTTGCAAAATTATTTATTTACCCCCAACTCTCTTTGCAAAACACAGTCCTTGCTCCCCTCGTCTTCCCAACCATTTCCTGCATAAACTGTTTTTTTATTTTTTTCATTTTCGCTACAAATCAGTGCACAGACAATTTGTAGGCTATCATTTTTAATAACAAATTCAGTGTCGCGCGAGAACTCCGGTCTCACGCACGCGTGATCTTCCGTTATTTCCTATCACTTCTCGCGTTTGTTTGGTTGTGAAACGTAGTTTGCGGACCAGGCAGAAGTTGTCGGCGATTCTTTCTTTTGTAAAGTCATGCAGTGTGAAACCTCCTGTCGCCGATCCATCGTGCAGTGTGAACACAGCAGCAACTGAATGTTACCCCAGATAGTCATGCAGTGTGAAAACAACAGTGACCCGATTATTTAGAAAATCGTGCAGTCTGAACTCGGCATAAGGGACTAAAGCATAAAGATTCATAGTAGTCCAATATGTGCATTATATACTGAGACGTCTGAAGCCATATTAGATCTTTGTCGGCAGAAAATCTTGCATGACAGCCATGGTCTCATTGTGAAATAGAAGTGTGCTTAAAGGTAGAGTAGGCAATTAGGAGCTAGCAATAGCAAATTGGCTTTGAAAGCATGAGATCCCACCCTCCTTTCAGAACGTCTCCAAAGCTACACCTTCTTCAAAACACATGAACGCACACAGCAGAGTTAAATTATCTCATGTCTCAAAGCACATAACATTACGATAATAATCAGGGCCGGTGAGCATGGTGCGAGGCCCAGTGCGAGTTAGTGGACGAGAGAACCAACCCCCCACCCTGAGTCATGGGTTTGGTAGGCGAATGCCGGGATGTTTTTTATTTGATCTTTATTTGATACACAAACACATTTTAACCAGCGTGTTCAAAATCAACAGACATTGAGGGAGAGACACTCGATATTAGATTTTCTTGATGCTGCTTGGAACTGTACTGCTCTGCATGTTGGTAGGATGACAAAAAATGTATATGTAAAATTTTTAAGCTGGCCCGCCTCGGTGGATTCCAGCGCAATGCTTCAGTTTTAATGGTGCAAGAGTTCAAGGTAAGGTATAGGCTAGCTAAACATAATAAATGTCAACTAGTTTACGATAGAAATGTTAATCGACCGACAGCAATCAAGTGATCTTATCGACTTTTTAGTAGGGATGGCTGTCGCGAAACAGTCGTTCCGAAGCTTTGCGAGATCCCGAAGCGCAGATGTTTCGAAACACTGATTCGAAGCGTGATTCAAAACACCCATGTCACGTGACTATGGCCAAACGAAGCCTCGAAGTGTTTCACTGAGTGTTTCATCAGGTGTGATCCGCCGAATCAGCGTTTGATTGACACGGTCGGAAACAGACCACACAATCGCACATCTGTATAAAAGTGAAATCAACGCATATTGACCTCGTGGTTTTTTGTGAGAGGAGTTTGATTTTGAGATAGTGGATTTTTGGTGATATAGTGCGATTTGTTTAGTTATATTTAGGCTTACATTTAAATTTACACAACACATTGACTGATAGGCTAGAGACACAGAGTATACATATAGTGACACATTAATAGATAGATATAAATATATATAGACAACTAGATTAATAGATAGATAGATACATATATAGATAGATTAAAGATAGGCTACATATATAAATACATAGATTATAGATACATTTATAGATACATATCTAAATACATAGATAGATTATAGATACATGATATATCTAATTACATAGATAGATTAGAGATACATATCTAGATAGATTTGGATAGATAAAATGGAGGCTCCCCAGAAGAGATGCCGTACATCTGTGGTGTGGGAGCATTTCCATTTAGAAACCCCAAATAAAGTGAGATGTGTGTATTGTGATCGGCAGCTCGCCTACTGCAACAATACATCATCCAGTAGAAACACAGGACAGTTTATGGGACCTTTTTGATACTCGTATCCATCAAACCCAGATAATACACAATGATACAGCTGATGCCACAGTGGAAGTGAAAAAATACATCAACGATGCGTATATTTGCCCAGAACTCATGATCCCCTAACTTACTGGAAAGAGAGAGCAGTAATCTTTCCTCATTTGTATGTATTAGCTAAAAAATATCTTTGCATGCCAGCAACAAGTGTCCCTTGTGAGAGGATTTTTTCAAAGGCTGGAGAAATTATCTGTAAAAAAAAAGAAGTAGGCTAAGTCCTTCCACAGCAGAGAAATTCATATTTTTGAATAAAAATGTGTAAAAAAGTAAGACATTGTGGCTTGATTTATTTTATTAATATTCATTTTGCAGGACCAAAATAACATTATGCACAGTGAGAAGCCTGTAGGTTGCAAGATTCACATATTAGAAAAGTACAATAATAAAAATAAAAAAAATTTTCATGGCTCGTCAAGGTTGTTTCAGATCAACACCTGCAAGTGACCACTAGGTGTCACCGTGGAGACGGGTGTCGGATTGATTCGAAGCCTCGAAACAATATGGACCATTTGGTTCAACTGTTTCATTGCTTCACGAAGCCTCGATCTGCCCATCACTACTTTTTAGTCAAATGATGCCATTTTTATTTTGAAATGAATATAGCTCTAGAGGTTCTCACTGGTTGGATGCGTTCATGTCATCTTGTTCTGTGTGAACACGCGGCTTATGAGTGTTCCTCATTAGCTGCGTGTTCGTGTCTCGTTCTATGTAAGCTCGTAGTGATTGGTTATCGCTGGTCATGTGCTTGTGTGTGATTCATGTTTGATGTGAGCACATGGCTTGTCTTGTTATGCTTCCATGTGCCATGTGCTCTCCTGTCTATTGTCTGACCCCGCCCATCTTGTTATCTGATTATTGGTTCAGTTGTCCCACCTGCCCTCCCTCATTACCTGCCTTGTTTGCTGTCCTATTTATTCCCCTTGTGTTTGGCTGTCCTAGGCTAGATTGTTGTCACATCGTTGCATGCTGTTGTTACCCTGCCTGTCTGATGAGTCCTGTCGTGTATGGTTCCTGCCTAGTCAGTCATGTTGTGAGTCTGCCTACCTAGTCAAGTCTAGCATAGTGTTTTCCCCCATGGGGTAGTTTCTGTTTTGTTTTGCTTTTATATTAATAAAGCCCATATTCCTCTGCATCCTTGTATTAATAAAGCCCATATTCCCCTGCATCCATCCTACAAACCGCTCTGAGTATAGTGTCAAGGGTTTCCATCTCTTCCAAATTATGGTAGGTATTGTGTGAACGCAGCATAAGAGAGTTGTTTGGTTCAGGAGGAAGTGTAAAGGCGGCTGCTGCTGTTTTGGTTGCGGTGCTCTGTGACTGATGTCTGTCTAACTATGAATAGCGTGTAACGCGCGGATGACTTGTGATGTCTGCGCGAGCAGGGTGCGTGGAAGTATGGAAATATGTTGACAGTCAGGTTTCAATAAAAATGACATTAAAGTATTTCAGTTTACATAAATACTTATGGCAGTACACCATATTTCTTTCATTGTTTTAATATAAATTTGAACTATTAAACATTTTTATTTAATTACAATTTAAGTGTCTGAAAACAGGACTGTAAGAAAAGCAGTTGAAAAATGGAAAACTGGTCATTTTTCTGTCAGGACTTTTTTTTTTTACTTTTTTTTATTTTACGGCAAAAAAAAGAAGGTTAGCCAATTAGAAAATGTTTTCTGCTGAAGCTGGTTTATAGTTAAAAGACTGGTAGGCACACCAGCATCCCCTCCAAAACACAGCATATGCTGTTGACTAGCAATACTGAACATTTTAACAGGGAATTTGTTTAGTATACTGAAGTTTCGTTATAGAGAATACTGCTCATGTAAAGATGTGGTTGTTCTTTCACCACTCTTCAGGAAGGCAATTCCACCCATCCTGCACATCTTTGTTTTAATCTCTCTCTCACTCTCTCGTTCAATCTCTTTCTCTCTAACACTCTATATCCTCCTGAGGCCTA